TATACTCAGGCTCTGTGGCCATCACTGAGAACAATGGATGGAGAAAGGTACTGATCTGTTTCATAGGAAAAAGAGCCAGCTGACCAGTGACAGCTTTTGTATATTTTTCCCATTAAATTCCATAGCAGAAAAAAAAAGAAGGAAAAAAAAAAGAGTGGGATAGAATGGTTATAATTGAAGACTGGCTATAATTCTCCTAAATGTTTGGTTTTTTCCTTAAAGCAAAATAATGTATATGTTAAATAAATTTAATTTGGGGTATTGGAAAATAATTCCATCTTCTATCAAAGAAAAATCAACCAGAGGTCTGGATTTGGCAAGAAGGCTAGAAATTTGTTTCTCTTCTAATGCATAATGTGGACCAACTTAACAACTAATCATTAAATAATTATCTTGAGTATCTTAGGTTGTCTCATAAAATACATTTGAAGTAGATGAGTTTATACTCACTGAAATCCATTTTTGTCACAATGAGTTTTCCATTGTGTGTTCACTTTTTGTACCCTTAATCAATGTGCTGTTCTTAAGGACTTCAAAGAAATAGGGTAATAAATAAAAACTGCATTTCTAGAGAAGCCTAAAAAAAATAGAATATTAATTTTTTAAAAAAATTAAACATTTGAAAATGTAATTCACAGCATTAAGTAGACTGCATAGGTCCTCAGTGACGGGACCCTGAAGAAGCATTGTTTAAACCCTCATAGTAGTTAGCAGTGCAAAACACACACTTATCAGACAAAAATAAACTAAAATGTTAATTTTGAAATAAATAACTAACATAGAAAATAGAACGAGGTGATTGTTGACTACTCCACAGATCTTAAGAGTCTGCAGGAAACGCATCATAACAGAGCCCAGCGCAGCTGTCACTGAGAAGTTTGCCACATCTGAACACCGACAGCATTGACCTGCAACTTGAAACTTGACGTCAGTTTTTAATCATGATCAGGCTTCTCAGGTTCGTAGTTCAAATGATGACAGTGATGGAAATGATCTCTGAACTCTATGTGATGAACCACAGGAGTTGGGAATTCATTTGCTTTCAATGTATTTTCCTTGTATTTTTAAATTATTTCCAGAAAAGAAAATCCCAAAGCAAATTTTTGCTAGGGTTCTTTGAATTTGTCTTGGCTCTTTTACCTCATGGTTGAAGATCTTGAAAGAAGTACGTAGGGTACCACCGGGTGATATACTTGTAAAGGCTGGAAAAGTAGCCATTCTCCCCCACTCTCAAATAGCACAGTCAGATTTTTGTTATGGGAATCAAGGGGTGGGAGGTATCACTCTTCCTGGTAGTGACAGGCTTTTAACAAATATTATTACTGCAATATCAGACTTCAATCTCACCAGAACTTCAAAAAACATTATTCATTGTTTTTGTCTTACAAAACATTTAAAAAAAAAAAAAAGACTGTCACTTGAAAATTTTCTTTGCATTTGCCTGTAAATGAAAACATTTGTTAAAAAGTTCATCTATGAAAAGTTCTCACATATCTTAAAAAAAAAATTCTTCTGTACACTTGTTCCATAATTATGCTGAAATTAATGGAAAATTAAAAAAAAAAGCCAATGTAAGACAATTCTGTACACTTGCTGAGAACCTCTTCCACCATTAAGATTCACTGTTTTCCCAGTTGTGATCATAAAAGCCATTTTAATCTTGAATTTGCAGTAGTAAAGAAGCTATGAAAGGCTCAACTTGTTTGGCTGAGGGGCCTGAGGTGGAATTCAACACGCAATGCTCAGCATCAAACTGTTGCACCAATCAGGTAAGCTTCTAGTACCCCTCCCACACGCGTACACATGCTCCTTGAACTGGAGTATCTATAATCCTACACGGATGTTTTATAAACTTGCTGTCTCACATTAAAAAATAAGTGCATCAAGTATCTTTGTACATTCAAGTCACTTTCTAAGGCAAATTGTCTACCGTATGTACTCCCAACTGCTTTGGTATTTGCTTGTTAATTGGGGTGGACTTGGGTGTCTCTGCATGCAGGTTAATTGACTTAGTGAGCTAACGGTGCACAGATGCTGGGAGCATGCCTTAGATCAGTCTACTCGTGTGTCTGAAGAGTCTGAGAGTTCTGAATGGGGTTCAAACCACTTGCATGTCTAGTCTACACTCACTACATTATGTCAGTGTGCAGCCTTCAAACTGAAGGAGCTTAATTAAGGCGTGAAAAATCTCACATACCCTCATAACAAGTTCTGTTCTGTTTTCTTCCAGCCAACTTGTTTTGGTAAATTAAGACCCTTTTTGATGACTAAGACTGACACAATTTGCGAACTCTGCCTGTGCAGACTAAGAATATGCAGACCTAACTTGGTTGTTTTCTCCTCACCCCACCCTGCCCTCTCTTTCTCTCTGGGTGTCTCACCAGCACTCTCTACCATTACATCTCCTTCTCTTGCATTCTGTTTCCTTCTCATTCTCTCTCTCTCTGTCCTGCATTCCCTCTCTTTTATGTGTGCGCGCTCTCTCTCTCTCTCTCTCTCTCTCTCTCTCTAAGACAAATGCCTCTACCTAGCAGAAGTCAGTTGGGTTTGCTAGTGCATGGTTTCCAAATGTTCAGCAGAGATGAACTGGGGTAGGTGATTTTGCAGTAACTCGAACCCTAGTGTGGGAATACTGTTACTTCCCTTAGCAGTCAGCAAAAACTGAGAAATATTAGTGACTTGTATCACCATGACACAGTAGAGCTTTTGGCAGGTAACAGTTCAGCGACTTATTTAGATGAATTGACTTTTTTAGAAAAGGTGGTTTCAAATTGAATTTCTGGAAACAAAAGTTCAGATCCTGTGGTGTGGCTGGTCTTGGTTTTTACAGTTCAATCTTGCATGCAGGGAAGGATTCATCTTGCATAACCACTGTGCTGCTGCTTGCTAAAACCATGATGTTGAGGTCCTGCTGTTTCTCATGGGTCTCCTGGTACCATTCCCTCATCACTTCTGAGTCATGAGTCGGGATAAGGGTCACCTGCAAGGAGAGCGAAGATAGCTGTTCAAGGGCAAAGCCAGAACTCTGATTAAAAAAACAGAAGAATAAAAGTTTTTTTTTTAAGAACAATAAAGTTTTAGACCACTAGAAAAGGGGCAAGAAAGGAAGATCTCTTTTCTTAAGAAATGCAAAGGACTTTTCAACTTACATCTTCTAGGAGCCAGAATAAAGCTGCAAAAAAATTAGTTTTCTGGGGGTGCTGAAGACTGGAACCAAAAGCAACCAAAGACTAGTCAGTTAATTCATCTATATTAATTAATCTTTGGTTTTTCAATTCTTTAATGAAGGGCTTCAGTTCAAGTAGAATTTCTTATATTTCCTTTAACACAACTGACAAGTTTTACATTAAAGATACTGCAATATTTAATCCAAGGAACTTTAGTTATTATTGCAGCTCAAAGCCCTGTAATTGTGTGTAACTAACATTACATCCTGAGAACAGAGATTTGTATCTTTAATTCGTGGGTGTGATTGGGGACAGAGGAGTGGGGTGGGTGGGTGGGTACTGGGTTAAATAGTAAGAATTCCATCTAGTATTCAGTAAGAGGCCACTGGGTGCTTCTCATTAGATTTCATTTGATTAAATAACAAGTATTTAATGTTACGCAAACACAGTTTACTAGATGACTGTGCAAAACCGTAAGTAAAACTCAGATAAGCAAAAATCACAGCTGAAATAATATGAAGTGGTTTGTGGCCAGTTACGACGTTTGGGAGTTGGGAGTGTCCTGTAAGGGCCCACTTCCAGCAGTGGTCCTCCTGCAGAACCTAAGGTAGACAGTCGCTTTTCTAAATGGCCATATTCCTAGCTCTGAAACACAAAGGAGTAAAGATAGTTCCTGATCAGTTCTCACGTGGAAATATAACCACTTGGTTACACATAGATTCTTGGTATATTAGGGTAAAGGGCAAGTAATCTTGGGCCCATTCTGCAGAGAAATGAATTAAGCTTTAGGGTGGTAAAGTGGCTTTTTTCCTCCAAGTCCAGGGTTGTCAATGATAATAAGAATACTTTTAAACCATCTTCTGTGTGTGAGATCCACTTTGTCCTCAGGATATTTCACATGTGGCAGACCCCCTGGGGCACCTCATGTGGATCCACAATCATAATGGTGCCTCATTAAACCTGATTCCTTCCCTCTGCCTCTGGACATGGCTCCGTGTGCGGCCGACACTGTCCTGGAGCTCTTACCTGCATGTTGCTGCCCCATTGAGCCTTCCCTTCCAACAAGGCATCCAGGACAGCCCGGCTGGGTTCCTCAGCAGCGGGGTCATTCCCACTCACCACGTAGTAGGACGACCTCACTCTCTTGAAAAATTCGACATCGACATTCTTACTGTTACTGTGGTTGGGAATATAGCACAGGTCCAAGTACACAGGGGGGCCTGGAGGCACAGCTGAGGGCTTGGACATCTTGGCAGTTCCTGGTCCTTTGGTAAGTAAACAAAAACAAAGAGAAAGCCAGGGTCACAGGAATGTGCAGCAAGCCATCTGTCCAGTATACCTTCCTACTCATTCCCAAAAAAGACTTCTAGGACCCGAAGCGGGAGACTGGGCATTTGCCTCTCACAGAGGGCATTCAACACTGGCCATTTGAGGAAATATCACCTGGTTGTTTATTTACCATTTCAACAGGCGAAATAAAGAAGGGGATGTTTCCCTTTGCGGACAACCCCTTAAGAAGTCAGAAGAGTTTCAAGGCCTTCTCCAAAGATGGAACTAGATATTAACACTCCTCCTAAAAGAGCTACTAATGTGTATTTTAATTTGAAAAGTCATCTAAGAAACAGATTTTAAAGAACAAAAGAATCTGCATTTGGTAAACCATAGTTTAGCAGTCTTAGTAATCCATGTTAACATCTCATTTGAAATCAGTTTTGCCATAGCTGAATATTATTCCCTAACATTCTACCTAGCCAGTGGTTGGGTCGTAGCACCATATGATTTCCAAGACCCTCAGCACCTGAACCTCATTCATAAACTGATGAAACGCTGTAGTCTCTCCTTAGGACAATACTCTAAAATGTGAGCCAGCTCTCAGACAAGACTGGATACCAACCTTTGGCAAGAGGAAGGTTCAAAAAGACTAAGCCAGTCAGGACATACCAGCGAAGGTAAGGGGCATGTGGCAGCCAAAATTCTCAGTCTAAATCACAAAGCCCGGGTAAGGTAAAGATTAACTCGAAAGCTTCTTGGCACCTTGTTGGGTGAGCTGGCTTTCTGATTTGTTCTAATTAGAAGACTTAAACTTTTTGAAACATTAATAGAAGTAGCATTCTAAGGCAGTGTTTCTTCACCCTGGTTGCATGATTAGAATCATTTAGAATGCTTAATACTAATGCCCGGGGCCCAGGCACCAGGCCCCAGAATCTGGCTTAACTGGGCTGGGGCAGGACCTGGGCACCACCATTTTTTAAAACTATTCCAGATGATGCCAATGTGTATGTGGTTCGAGACCACTGCTGTAAAGCCATTTAAAATGCCAGTCAGATCTTACCTTTCTACAGAGGATGTATAAAGACTGTCATCCCAGAGTCAAAACTAGTAATGAATTCCGTCAGTCGTCTCATTTTATTTTCAGGGGGATGGGGGAGTGGTGAGAATCAGCCAAACTAGTATTTAGACAAACTGACTAATTTTATGAGCAGATTAAACAGCCATTTTAATGAACCTAAGCTCAAACCCCTCAACATATCCATGTGTTAGGTCTCCCAAAGAATTCTGATTTGTAGCAGAAGTTTATGGGTTTCATTTCTCCTCATAATTAAAAAATGTCCAGTTTCCTCTTGCACACTGAATCACTGCCATCAACACCAAAGCAATATTGCTCAGAGAAGCCGAAACAGAGGGAACTGCCAGAAGCCAAACCAGGTTTGTTTTCAAAATCAATCAATAGTGCAATTTGTCTTTTTAGAAATCTGTTGGGAAAGTAAATGCAAATTAACTCAGCCTCAAAATTATCTCTAAATGACAAAAAAAAGTTTAAAAAAGATCTGTTATGTGGGCTAGTGTGTATGTTTGGCAAGTTTGGTAACACATTTCAGTGGGGTTTTATCTGTTTGAATGGATTTTCATGTTTTCTCCTGAGTACAGGTCAGCTGTCAAGGCCTTCAGATGAAGGAGTTAATTATCTGGTGGTTTTCTATTAATTCTAAGCACAAATTCAGTTTGTTTCTACATGCAAGTAAAAAGAGGAAATCTGATTAAGACCTGAGTCTTGAAATTGATGCTCCATGTTGTTTAAAAGTAAAAAAATTGTAGTTGTAACTAACAACAGTACATTTAGTGCCTAAAACGTACTGAATTTGAGTGTCCCGATGTTTCATCCATCAGATTTTCCTTAATAAATCAAGGAAGTGTTGCTTAAATTATTTTTTGCTTTACATGTTTGGGTCAAGTTATGTTACTTTGTGAACTGTCATCTAAAAATTCCTGAATAAATTTGTAAAGCAAATAAAATCTATTAATTCAAATCCCTGTGATTGGTTTGAACAAAGAGGAATTTCCATCTGAAACAGAATTCTGAGTCTGTTAGGCTGTGTGGTCAGAGAGGGAGATAAAAGAGAGCCTTCAATGCTTTTCTCTCAATTTGTACTGGGTACCCACTGGTCAGCTGAATTCGCTGGTTGATAAAACAGAGCATTGCCTTTGATGGGGACGTATCTCCAGCCTGGTGTTTTTATTTTTCTAAGATTTTTAATTTTAAGATGTTATAATTTTATTTAAAATATTTTTTATTTAAAAAAATGGAACCTAAATCTTGGGTCTACAATGGTTATTCCAGGCTTGGCTTAGAACTCTGGTTCTCCCTAGGCCTTTGGGACCTCCTGGTCCACGTCACCTCAGCTTGATTCTGGGGCCAGTGTAGCCGAAGCAGATGCCAAGAGAATCTTCCAGAGGAGCCTAAAACACACATCCTTGGTTCTAAAGATTTAGAACAATGCTGTGGTTGCTGTGTTGCAAAAGGGAGCAAACCCAGGAGTGACATCTGGGAATGGGAGCTGCTCTGGACCCTATGCTGAGCTCTCCTCAGGCCCATGGGCTACACTGGGCTGAGATCTATGCCTTCTGGCAGAAGACAATAGTAGAGGGAAGGGAGAGTACTACAGTGGTAAACTCTCATCTTCCCAGTAAAAAGTCAAATAGAAATGCAGAGGCTGCAATTGAAAGTAGAATTGTGTCCTGGATCAGGATGCCAGCACCTTCCACCTACCAGCAGTTGCGGTCTTCACCGACTTGGATGTGGAAGCGTTGGCAGCATTCTTGGTCTCCTTGTCTTTCTCTTCCCCACGTGGAGCTTTGACCTCAGGATTGGTGGTAGTTTTTGTTGCTTTTTCCACAGAATCCTTCTTCTTAGGAGAAGCCACTCTGGACACCTTATCTGAAGATTCCTTCAAGGCCCCTGGCTTTGGTGAAGCTGCAGAGGGCTTGGACTTCCCATCACCCTTCTTGACAGGTGAAGATGACTTGGTCTTTGTACCTGGCTTTTTGGTTTTGGTCTTTTCCTTCAGGTCTTTCTTCAGAGCTTTGCCCAGGTTCTGCTCAATGGCCAAGGCCTCGGGATCCATCATGGACACATCAGGGTGGCGTGGAGAAGGGCTGCGGTCCTGCATGGGGGCCGGAGGTGGATCCATGTGTTTGTACGTGACAGTTTTGTCTGTGGGGATGGTTTCTGATTCATCTTCGGAGTCGATATTCGCATCAGCTGTGATAGAGGGGCACTCTTCAGTCTCCGGGGGGACATCAGAGTCGGTCTGGGACGGGGCTGACTCGCTCACTGAGGTGGGAGGGGTTTCATCACACTGTCGCCCCTGGGGCTTTCCTCCTGGAGGCGGTGGGACTCCCCCTGATTGGGTGAGGGGCTTCTCTGACTCTTCAGTTGGCTCTTCACTGGCAAACCACTCGAGAGGATTGGGATTAATGAAGGAGGGTGAAAGCTCCGTCTTGGGATGCTTGTATTCACAGGAGGACACAAGGCATAAGTCAACATCCTGGCGAGCCTCGGAAGGGGACTTCTTTTCTGCAGAGTAGCACTGGTCTGAAGTCTCGTAGGAATATGGAGATGCCTGGGGGGTTCTAGCGATTTTCTCTGTGGTCTCATAACAGTATGCGGAAGTATCAGGGGTTCGTGTAGCTGTTGTCGATGTTGCGTACGAGTAACTTTCAGACTCAGGGAAACTGGCAGTCTTCTCAGTGGTCTCGTAAGAGTAACTGGAATCCCCAGGTACGTGGCCACCCTCTTCAGAGTCATCATAGCCATTGCTGATGTCATCCAGGAGCCTTCTAGACCTCTCAGTCTTTTCGTAGCTGTAACCACTCACTTCCGGGGTCCTTATTGTCTTCTCATGTATCTCAAATGAGTACCCTGACTCTTCAGGGGACTGTGTGGTCTTCTCAGTAATTTCATAGGCATACCCACCGTCTTCAGGAGTCTTGGTGGTTTTCTCAATGGTTTCATAGGAGTAGCCACTGTCACACGGGGATTTGGTGGTGCCCTCTGTCTTCTCATAGTAATAGCCACTCACATCTGGGGTCCGGGTAGTTTTCTCATAAGACTCATAGTCATAACCTTCCTCATCTGGGGACCTAATTGTCTTCTCAGGCTTTTGATAGGCATAGCTGAAGTCACCAGGTGTCTTCCCTCCACTGTCCTCAATGCCAGATGTGGTCAAATCTCTATTCAAGGCTAGATGGTGTTGCATCGTATCAAATAACATGGAGGCACGGAAGCCATAGGGCTCTGCGGATGCCGCATCCATTGGTGGAGGAGAGGAAGTGTGGCCAGCTGCTATGCTCTCTTTGACTGCAGAGGTAGAATCTGAAAAACTAGGTGAATATAAAGGGGAGGACTCTCTTGGGGTGAGTGGAGAGATATCAGATTTTGGTGAGAGCTTCTCTCCTTCCAGACTTTGCACTTTTTCAGAGGTGAGTGAGGCATATAAGGATATATCTCTGGGAGGAACAACATCGGACAGAGTATCTTCTTGGAGAGGAGAAGCTATCTGAGACGGGGTGTGTGCAGAAGAGGTGGATGGCGAGGCCTCAACCTGAGATACTGAGATGAGCTCAGAAAGATCATTATCTTGGGTGTAGGAGGGCTCCTCCGTTGGTGGGATCTTATGTGATAAACTAGAGTCCTGCATGTCAGAAGGACTATAGTCCACCTCAGTTGGCCCATTTTCAGTGATGTGAAGCATACTTGCACCCACTGTAGGGTGATCTGGAGACTGTCGGCTGAAGTCCATAGCAAGGGAGTGCTCAGGGGATTCTTGGCCAAATTCAATACTCATCGAGGATTGTTCAGATCTGTGATCTTGAACTGGTGTCCTAGATTTGGCTGTTTTAGGGGAAAAATCTGGTGGAGAAATTGACATTGGTCTTGGGCATTCTTCTTTAGATGGAGACATTTCTGTTTCCTGGAAAGTGGTAGGCGTTTGCACAACAGACACTGAAAGGGAGTCGTCAACTTCTGTGGAATGCGGGGAACCAACTTCAGCATGAAGCGAAGGAGACACGTCATCTGTTGTTGGCTCTGGAAATGAGCTCGTAGCCACAGAAGCTGTGGAGACAGAGGCCACACCCTCCATATGAGAGTAAGTGTCTTCTGCTACACCCTCATCAACAGGGGTAGCTGACTTGTCTGAGACAGTGCCTTCAGAAATGGACATCTTAGTGTCTTCTTTAAAAGATCCAAACTGACTGACATCTATTTGTGTAGGAGAAACATCTCCTAATTTCCTTTCATCTAAAGCCAGTCCTGACTGAGAACTCATAGCTTCAACATCATCAGTTTTCCTTTCTGGACCAAAATCTTCCTTTATTGGTATAAAGTCTGTGCTCTTCCCTTCCTGTTTGTCTTGGAAAACACCAGTGGAAGTCATGTCAGAAACTGGACTTATTTGGTCTGGAAAGCCTTGTTTTCCATTCTTTCCCTCAAAGGGGCTTTCGGTACATCTACCAGGAGCCTGGTCATCAACACTTAGAAAACTTTCATATGCAGACTCAGATCCAATTAGGGGAGGGCTCCGTAAAGGAGACAAAACTTTTTCAATAGGAGACTCCGAGTCAGGCACAGGTTCATCCATGGGGCTTATAGAAGCCCTTTCACTCTCATCTTTGGCATCACTGAATTCAAAGCTCACTGGGGCTGCTGGTGGTTTTTCAGTGACTTCTGTAGGAAGGTGACTAGATTTCTCCTCAGTAGGAGATTGGTAGTAAGGTGTGTGACCAGCACTGCCAGTCACAGACTGGGATGGAGACACCACTTCCAGGGTCTTATCCTCAGGACTGGCACAAGGTTCTTCAACTACTTCTTGGGTCACCTCAGGAGACACTGGAACTACTTCTGCTTCTGCTGAGACTTGAATTTCATTGGGTGTCAGAGAAAAGTTGACGCTTCGTTCACCCAGGGGGGTCTTTTCTATGGGTGATGGCGGAGATGGACTCAGGGAAGGGCTCTTGGGTGGACTGAGTTTTTCATCTGCAACTGCTGAGACCATGTCTTTGATCTCCAACGTGGCACTGGCTCTCACGTCTTTCTCTTCAGAATAGTAGGCATCACGCAGAGCAGATCTGCTAAATTTGTCTTCCTCCATGGATGAGGGTGGTGAGATGGTGGAGGCTGAAGCATTGTAATCCTTCCCATCAGTGGCATCTGTTTTTGACTCTTCAGACAGTCCGTTGAGTGATGTCACGGCAGGTTTGGGGTATTCCTGAGAATACAGTGCAGACTCGTATTTGGTGATGTTGACAAATTCTTGAGATGGGGACTCTGTCTCTTCATTGTTGGTCTCATCACTCATCACATCTCGAGGAGTGGACATCTCATCCATGGGGGTGGGCTCACTGGATATCTCAATGGTAGACTGAGTGTAGCCAGAGGTTGCAGTGAATTCTTCAGGCTGGTCTTCCCGATTCTCCTCATCAGAAGCCGTGGCCTCGCTCTCTGAACCTCCAGGGAGAGTCTCATCATGAATTGAAGATGCAGGTTCTTGGACAGGAGACTGGGCTCCCAATTGCTTGCTGGATGTGGTAAGGAATCCGTACTGATCCTCGGCACCACCAGCTTCTGCAGCCTTGTCAACCACAGCCATCACATAGTCTTCAGCTTCAGCTTTCTCTGGCTCGTAGTCTTCCTCCCTGGCATCCTCGGCTTTGTCTTCCTCATCTCCCTCCTCCTCAGACAGTTCAGCTTCTCCCTTCTCCAGTGCCTCGTCCATGTCTTCTTCTGCGCGGTCATCACCACTGGCCACAGACGCCCGCTTCTCCCTGATGTGCACGTCCGCCTCAGCCTTGGCGCTTTCCTCCTCCTCCACCGGGCTGTGCTTGGAGGTGCTCTCACACACATTTTCTTCCGCGTCCTCTTCAGGCTCCTCAGCCTCCTCAGTTTCTGCCTTCTCTTCATAGTCTCCAGTCTCCGAGGACTCCTCAAAACCTGCTCCTTCGTCCTCAAATTTTTCTGTGTCCTCCACCCCCTGCTTCTCGACTGGCTCCAGCTCCTCTGGGGTTTGCTCGCACTCACCCTCCCCTTCAGTGGTGGTGATTCCCTCATCGGGGGACTCGGCAGGACCTTTGATGACTTCTGTCTCTTTCTGGATGACGTAGGCTTCGACAGGCTCCGTTTCCTTGAGTTTCTCCTCATCTTCAATTAGCTCCAGCTGAGGCTTGATGTCTTTTGATACATCAACCTCTTCAGCCTTCAGCTCTTCAAAGTCCTTAGTCAGATCCTCAGGGGATGACATAAGGGACCTCTCAGCTTCGAGATCTTTGGCAGGGCCAGTGGTGGCCATTCCAGCTGCTGCTGCCACGGCGGCCACACTGGCAACAGCTGCAGCCTCTGCTGCCTTGCCTTCCTTCTTGACGACTTTAATTTTCCCCTTCTCCTTTGGCTTCCCAGCAGCAACAGAATCTTTCTTGACAGACTCTTCCTTCTTGGGTACTTTTGGTTTTAACGCAGCTGGTTTTTTTGCTTCAGGTACAGGAGTAGATGGTTTCTTTGTGTCTTTAGGAAGCTTCTTAATTTCCTTTTTGGGTTCCTTTTCCTCCTTTTTGATTTCCTTCTTTTCCTCCTTCTTAACTTCCTTCTTGGCTTCCTTCAGTGGGGTTTCCTTCTTAACCTCTTTTTTGGCTTCTTTTTTCTCTTCTTTCTTGACTTCTTTTTTGACCTCCTTCTTCACTTCTTCCTTTTTTGGTTTTTCTTCCTTCTTGATGGGTGTCTTGTCCTCCTTTTTAGCCACTTCTTTCTTTGGCTTTTCCTTTTCCTTCTCCTCTTTCTTTTCTTCAGGTTTTGCCTTTGTTTCTTTTTTCACCGTCTTCTCCTTGGCGACTTTGGGTTTGACGTCTGTGCCTTGTTTCTCAGCCCCCTCAGCTTTGACTGAAGGCAGCTCTTCTTTGCTGGGCACCTCCTTTTCGGCCACGGGAGGCTTGGTCTCTGTTTTTACTGGTTTGTCTTTTTTC